CACGTTTAATTATAGTGGTGATAAAGAAAACATATAGTAATTTGTATACAAGACTATTTTAAATACCTATGTATGCTTCACCAAAAAAAAAAAAAAAAAAAAAAAAAAAACCTATGTAAGCAATCTTAGCACAGTATAGAGTTTTCATGAGTTACCTAAATTTATATTATTAATTAATTGAAATGATAAATTTTAATAATCTTTATATTTTAATAAATTTAACAATTTAGATAGTGAAATACACTTTTCTAAAATATAATAATTATAATAGTATAAGTATGTCATATAATCCTTACTCATCTCTATCTATACTATATACTAAAGTAATCACCAGAGTTATCCCTTAAGTACACATGTCACATTCATTTTAGTTTTTTTTTTAAATTTCTTTTTTACCCTTAAAAAATAAATTGATAAAAAAAATTTAATGAAAAAAAACTTACAATAATTTATAAAATATTTTAAATAATGTATCTAACATGAGAATTTTAAGGATAGACATGATATGAATTCAAATTCAAAAATAAATAATGTTACATATAAGCCATTTCATTTAAACTAACTCCATTTTAATTGAATTTTATTAATTAATTTATTTATTTTTATTTTCAAGTCTTATTATTATAAATCCGTGCATTTGCACGGGGATAAAACTAGTATTGGAATATTTGTGAATGTCAGGCAGCCACGAGTAAGAGTTTTACTTTTTTTTTTTTTTTAATATTTTTTAAAAAGATTTATACTTAAGATAATTAAATAGATTTGACTATTAAGTAGTATTTGATTGTTAATTTTACTCACTTCAATCGTTTCATAATAAAGTTTTAAGAAATTAAAGGGTAGTAGCTAAAGGAGAATTTTATAAAATATAAAGTATGAATTTATTTTTTTTTTTTTTTAAATTGACTCAAAATTTTTAAACTGTGCATCGCATGGGCTTAACACCTAGTATTTTATATGTATAAATTGAATTATAACTTTATTTAAAAAAAATTAGATTATAACTCTAAAAAAAACCAATATTATTATTAGTCATTTATATGTCTACTATATAATTTAAATCGTCATAAAAACACATAAATTACTAACTAATGTTGCATTAAAGATATATTTTGAAATTTGACATATAGATAAAATATAAATCTCAAAATTAATAAATAACCCGGGCATTGCACGGGGCACAAAAGCTAGTATATGTATATAAAGGAGAGTTTTTTCCCGAGTTTTTAAGAGAGCCACATAAGATATAATTTTCTTAGTGTGCCATGTAGGATTATAAATTTTAGTAGTAGCCAATTAAATAAGAGATTATTAAAAAAATTTATAATTCAAATGTCACGTAAGCAAAATTGGCGAATGAAATTTTTCAGTTTAAATTAATTAAATATAAAATATTATACATATATATATACATATATGTATAATAATTATTTTAAAAAATTCAATCGCACGGGCTTTTTGGGACTAGCTTGCAATTTTAATAATTTTCAAGCTAATAGTCAAACCATTGGAGGATACTTTGATAATTAGTTTGGCCAAGCTAATGCCAAGCAAATTAGCTTAACTAAGCTAATTAGCTTAGAAATTAATTGTCTTTAATAAAATACTAATTATTTAAAAAATAAAGCTGAAAAATCTAAATGCTAATTAGTCTAACCATTGTGGTATGAATTAGCTAGAAGAAAGAATAGCTTTGCTATCCTAAGTGGCATGGCAAGCTAATTTGCCCTTGGAGTTGCTCTAATATTACTGAACTGGATTTTTTTTTGCTGAATTAAAATGATTTTTACTTGTATTTTTTTTTTTAAGGTGAAGTAAATATGCAAGTATATTTATAAAAAAAAAAGAAAAAATTTCCATATTTTTAGCTACGGTTGTTGAGTTCTTTAAGCTCTTAAACAAGTTTACTCCTTTCCGGAAAAAATAATAAAAAATTTAAAAGATAAACAAGTTTACTCCGTTTACTTTCTTTGATTATCTGTCTTGGTCGATATCGCTAATTGCAACTTTGCAATCACTTCTCCTGGTATGTTTACGGATTTCCCACTAGTATTGATTTAATTTCTGTTTCCGAGATTTTTATTTTGTGAAATGATTTGCCCCTATTTTGAATTTCTCTCAAAACTTTATTTACTATTAACGTTTAGGGTCTTTTGTTGAAAGATAAGAATTCTTGTAATTTGTAATTTGATGTTGCTTTGTATTAGCTGTTTGTTGGTAGAATTCAAGGGTTTTGTTACAATTGGTCAATTTTGAATTTTGATGATCAATTGTGTTTTAATGGTGTTTATTTAAAGCTCGTAACAATTTGTTTGATTGAGTTCGTGAAAATGGGCTTATACTGTAATGGGTGGGAGTCTTTTTACAAGTTGCTGAAAAAAAGAGATGGGATTTTCTTCACTGGCTATTTCATGTTAGTTTCTGGTTACATTGCATTTCACATATTAGTTAAGATCTGTGTTTGTGGGCGAGTGTGTGTGTGGAGTTAAGACTTAATAGTATGCTAGTGTTGTGTTATTTTGGTGCGCAATGTGCATTGTGTGCTTGTGTCGTCGTGTTGATGATCTAATTTGCGTGTAAGGCAATTACTTTGGAAGTTTATTACACTGGAAATTAGAAATTTAGTATAAACTTTGTATATTCTATCTATGTTGCACAAAGGTTGGATGTTGGCTCGTTTATTCGAAGTTAGGCTTAGATATGTGGTATAAGAACCGATATAATGTTTGAGAAAGTAGGGTAGGATGGATAACTAGTAGACTGATGAGTTGATTGTATTGAAACCCAAAGTGTGGACCTTGTTAGTATAAGAGTTCTTAGGGTATTAAGACCTCTTGCTAAGTTCTAACGAAGTCCATCCAAGAATTTGTTCATAAATTAGCTTTTATTTAGTGAACTTGTTACCTATTGAAAATCTGAATTCCTGACCTTATTAATGCACAGATCATATTTCTATTATCTTTGTATATTCTTCATTGGGTGTAGAATCAGGGACGCTGGGGTATGGAAGTCACATCGGATTTTGGTTATGTTCTTGCTGCTATCTTCAATTTGGCATTTGACGCTACATCATAATACTCTGTAGTATATATTTTGGTACGGTATGTTGTATTTAGTCTGTGGTATGCTCTTGTGACATAACTTCTCTTGACATTGATTTGGTTTGGTGAAATTTGAGCTTCTCTATCTTTTCCTACAATTCACTATGTGGGAATGCTTGTATTGGTTTTTGTTTCTTGTACAATATATATGATGGCCTGGTTAAGTATTTACTATATCTCTTTCATATTATTTGCAGCAAACGAGTTTGCAAAGATTCCTAAGAAAAATTTGTTTGTGAGTGTTTAATAAAGAAAAAAGATATGCATATGATGAAGAGATAGAGATAAATGACTACTTAAAAAGGAAAAAAAAAAAAAAAAAAAAAAGGAAACATCTTTTCAAATAATGTGAAGCATCCATTTTTTACAATTATTGCAAATAATATAAGTAGTAAAACGGATGTAGTATTCAGAGTGCTGTGAAGGGTATTCAGAGTGCTAGAAAGGTTTGGGATGACCTTACCAATGCATATGATGAGTGCGAGACAACATCAGCTAGGGAGGAGGGCACAAGTGCAGAAAGCTGATTGGGTAGCTAGGCAAGCAAGACAACAACTGAGAGCTGCAACTTCCTTCAGAGATGTTATACCAAGCATGACTGAGCCTCCTTTTGTAGGGCAGCAGCATGAGGTTGTTTTTGGCACCTATGAAAACTGCTTTAGCAATGATTAGTCTCTAACTTATTCATGGTCTGTAATATTACTATTAACTGTATTGCCTCTCTTTTGGCTTCTGAAGGAGTGATTAAACTCTGTACTAAACTTGGGTTTCATTTATGTTTAAGTAGCTGCTGCTTTTTAATCAAAAATAAAATAAAATAATTAGAGAAAACCTAGATGAGTTGATTCCATTGAAACCAAAAGTGTGGACCTTGTTAGTATAAGAGTGCTTAGGGTGTTAAGGCCTCTTGCTAAGATCTAGCGACGACAATCCAAGAATTTCTTCATGGATCAGCTTTTAGTAAACTAGTTGTCAATTGAAAAGCCAAGTTCTTGACCTTATTAATGGAATAAATCTTATTTCTATTATCTTACATATTAAGATATTCTTCATTGGGTGTAGAATCAGGAAGGCTGGGGTAGGGAAGTCACATCGGTTTTGGATTATGTTCTTGCTTTCACCTTCAATTTGGCATTTGATGCTTATTTATAATAATCCATAGTATATATTTTGACAGAGTACTCTGTATTTAGTCTGTGATCTGCCCTTGTTTTTAAATGCCTTCTCTTAACACTGATTCGGTTTGGTAAAATTTGAGCTTCTCTATCTTTTACTTCTATATCAGTATGTGGGAATGCTTGCATTGGTTTTTGTTTCTTGTATAGGTATGAATCTCAAACATAGCATTGGGTAGCAGTGAAATGCTAAATTGCAACATAGCTACAATGGCTAGACATGAATCATGTGAAAAAGATGTCGTTATCGATTAAGTCTCATAATATGTGTGAACAAACATGTTCTTACTAGTTTTTTGTTAGATGTTGAGTCCTTGAGGAATAGAGTTGAGATTATGCTATTCAAGTTTGTTTGCTTTTCTTTAGTGATATGTTGTCTGATACTTCACTTTTTAATTGTTTTCCTTCTTCTTTATCAAGTGGTTTGATTGGTTTTTCTGTATAAGGTTGTCGTCATCATTGTTGGTTTCTCTGAAGGATCTTATCATTTGCTTCAATGTCACATGTTGAGCTCTCTCTTTTCAAAATAATTGCCATTTGCAGTTCTTTTCATTAAGGTTTTAGATAAATGTTTGGTTTTCCATTTATGTATTGAACGTGAACCATCTACTCTTCAACTGCACAAATATATCAAAGCTATCTTTAATTTTATGCTGCATAATCTCACTTCTGTCAGAATTTTACTAAGTTCACCACCCTTTTTCTATCCCTTAGATTCATCAACATGTTTGCAACTTGGATTGCAAGCAAGCTCAAGCTCAACCAAAAAACTGATAGGATCAGCAACTTGCCCCAAAATGTAACACAACAAATCCTAGAATGTTTACCCCTGCGAGATGCAGCAAGGATGAGCATCCTATCGAGCCATTGGAGATTTGAATGGGGTTCAATTTCCCAACTTTTACTTGATCATGATCTCTTCTCTAGCATTCTGAAGGGACGATTAGATACTGAAGACAATTTATTGGCATATACAAATTTTGTTTATGATATTCTTTTTAGTCATGCTGGCCCGATATTAAAGTTCAATCTTTACCTTCCCTATTGGCTTCCAAACGAATATGACATTAGTCAGTGGATGCAGTATCTTAGTTCCAATGGTGTTAAGGAATTTACACTTGAGGATTCTCGCAGTCCAAGAATGAACTTGCCTACATGCTTATTTTCTTGTGAGAGCTTGACACACTTGACACTCATCGATTGCATATTGTCCCCTCTTCCAGCTACATTTAAGGGGTTTCCATGCTTTGTTAGTCTTAAATTGGAGAAACTCTACATGAGTCCAGGCAATCATACAGTGGTTAATTTGTTTGAAATTCTTATTTCCAAATGTCCTCAGCTTAAGATCCTCAATATAAGCTTAGCTGAACGACTTTATAATCTGACTATTTGTGCTCCGAAACTTCAAGACTTGTTTGTGGACTATTGGTTTGGTAATTTATCCTTGGAGGGAACAACAAATATAAACAAGCTATCCCTAGATTGTTATAGTCAAAAGTATCAACACAGCAATCACATGAGTGACTTCTTCAGCAACTTGTGCAACGTTGAGAAGCTCATTCTTGGACATTCATTTTGGTGGGTAAGTGTTATGATTAAGTTTTACACTATGAATTATCTGTCAAGTATTGTAATATCGTTACAGTTTTATCGATCAATCTTTGATATAAATTGCAGGGAGTAGAGCTTTACAGTTTAAGATCTCCCACAAAGTTTCCAGAAGAGCTGGAAAGGTTGCGAACTCTCAAAATCGTAGAAATATCACTGTTTTGTCATTCCAGCATTTCTCTTGTTCTCTGCTTATTTATGAGCTCCCCACACTTGGAGCTACTACATATTGAAGTAAGTTTTGACAAATTTTTTATCATTGGCTCATGTTAATTTCGTCATTAATTAGCTTTTCCTGATCAATTTTCTGCATCCAAATTGAGACATGCAATGTAATGCGATTTTTGATAATAATAATAAAACATATAACTATTTTTTGTGCACCCGTTGAAAAAATTTATGGTGCTACGACTTTGTACTAGTATTCATGTTGCTATATGCACCTTGGTAAAATGTCGTGTTGTTTAGGCCAATTTTTTCGTACTCTTTTTACTCTTATGTGACACTTGACGCTTATCTAAAATCATTCTTGCATAAAATCAGGCAACAAATTGCCCACGCTATGAAAATGTCCATGATGGTCCATTAGCCCAGATTGATGGCTCTTGCTTCCATCGTCCATACCTTAAGAAGATACAACTTATTGGTATTTCGGAGTTGATTAATGGGTTGCTACTTATGAAGTTTCTACTTGCATGTTCTCCTGCACTGGAGGAAATGACTGTTGAGCTAATTAATTTTATCGAGGAAGCAATGCAGTATCGTCGAGCCTCACCAATTGCAAAGATTAATATCATGCCAAAGAAAGAAACTGATAGGTCTCCTATAAAGGTAAGGTGTTTTTAACAATACAGGTGATTTTATTAAATTTTTTGACAATTGCTATTTGATGAAGTAGATAATTATTATCATGTCATCGTCTTTTATTTCTGTACCTTTAATTTTACACATAATCCTGTGCATTGTTTATGTATGCTTTCACTATTTTCAACAGGAGGGTGGTCGTCGTGGTGGTTGGTGTTGGTTGTTAAACTTATCAAGAATGCACCGTGCACTTTGCTTTGGGTAATTGGGGTGAATGCAACAAACAATACTCGTGGTTTTGCTTAAATTTTTGAAGACAAAAGTATTCAGTGTGTTGCAATTTTGTTTTCAGACCCATCTATCCCTCCGATCAAAACTCACTTTTCATGCCATCCTCTTAGTTTGACAGAGGCATTGGGGAGAAGGTAAAGAGTATTTGGTAAGGAGGATTTGAATTTCATAGATTCACATTGGCCCTGTTTGGGAGAAAGCTGAAAGTTGAAGCTGATTGAGTTAGCTGATTTTGACTAACTGATTTGACTAACTTATTGTATTAACTAATTATATAAAAGTGTTTGGTAAATAGCTGATAGCTTAAAGGTGATTGAGTATGTGAAATGACCAATAAGCTAATTGTGGGGTAGGTAGTTTAGATAGAATTTTAAATTAAATGAGGTTATAAGTGTCATTTCACAATAATTAATGAATAAGCTAATTGAAAAAGCTCCTAAAATGAGCTTTTTCAAAAAGAGCTTATTTAGTGGTATAAGCTCTTTCAATAAGCTTACTACCAAACACTTGTATTAGCTTGTTTGACTAGTCAATCAGCTAAAGTTAGTCAAATAAGCTAATATACCTCCAATAAGCTAATTACCAAACAGGGTCATTGTCTCCTCCCTCTCCTGACTCCTTTTGGCTTATTCTCTTCTTCATTGCTTGGTTATTGTTTGCTTGTTCTTGGATTGTCAATTGCAAACTACTCCAATTAAATGGGAGTGTTGGAAAATAAAACACAATAGATGAATACAAATTTAAAATATTGGAGTAGAAATAAAGTTGTAATATTATGTACAGCTTATAAGAAACATAAAATTAAAGTGAAACACCCAAAATAGACGTGAATACGTAATTATAAAGAATAGAGGGAGTATGATTTATGAGCATTGTTGTCCAAAAATATACAGAGTAACAAGTATACAGTAAATACTCTCTCCGTTCCTTATTTACATTCCTATTTTTAAAATTATACGGGAATTAAAGAACTTTGAGTAACCTTAAAAATCTATGATTGGAAAGTAATGTGGGAATTACAAGACATTTATTGTTGTCTTTGAATAAAACAAAGATAGAATGATATTAAACGAAGCACATGCCATCAATCCTTTAAAAAAAAAAAAGATCAACTACATTTTTTGGGTGAAAAATAAAAGGATCAATCATATTTCAGTATAGTGCTGGATCTAAAATGTTTAAAAGGGTGAGTGCCAAAATTATGGTTTATGTGCCATTTATTGCAACACTGAAAAATAATAATTGGGCCGTTTGGTTGGGGTTAATAATCAAAGGGAATCGGAATGAACTGATATCATTCCCTTTGTTGTTGTTTGTTTGACACTTTTTTGATTCCCTTTACCCATTTTTATTTTTGAGTTCACCCATTTTTAGTCTACATTAATTCCCCACCCCCCCCCCCAAGACTTTCCCATTCCCTTTCCCTAGCCACCATACCCACCACCATTGTACTTGCCGGAACTAGCCCAACCACCTCGCTACGGACCTAGTCCCCACCGCCGGACTCGCCGCACTTCCCCCACAACTCGCCGGAGCCCGCGCACCTCCCCCACCTCTCCCCTCGAAAACACCTCCCCTCCCCGGAAAAACTTCCACCACCAAGCAAAAACCCTAGAAAACACCATCCCTCCCCTTAAAAACGCCGGCCGACCTTCCCCCCACCCTCGAAGGGTTTCGAGGGCGGGGGAAGGTTGGCCGACGTTTTTAAGGGGAGGGATGGTGTTTTCTAGGGTTTTTGCGTGGTGGTGGAAGTTTTTTCCGGGGAGGTTAGGGGCTGCGAGGGGTGGGGGAGGTGCGCCCAGGGCTGCCGATTTCCGTCGACGTTGTGGCTGGGCGATGGGGTGGCTCCTGGTGGCTGGAAAAGTGAAGAAAGGGGATGTGTGGTGGTGATGGTGATTCCCTTTGTTTATTGAAAACCAAACAACACAGTACTTGGAAAGGGTTTCATTCCATTCTCCTACATTCCCTTTGTTCATTCCATTCCGATTCCCCCGCGCGAACCAAACGGCCCCTAAAAGTAATGTCGCATTACGGATATTTGGCAAAAATTTATTTACTAAAAAGGGAAAGTAAGAATGTAATTTTGAAACACCCAAAATAAAAAGCATGAATGTTGATAAGGGACGGAGGGAGTACTTTAGATAGGAAGCCCTACATTCTTAATTCTCTCTATTATGTGACAAATAAATGTTAGAATTAAAAATGTAATTTAGGGATGAAGGGAGTATTTCAAATGAGATAAGAGGAAAGAGTATAATACAAAGTATCTAATAAATAATTGGCAACATTGGAATTCAGATCAACTTTGGGAATTATTCTTATATTATATGGAAATTCAAAAGGCCATCTACTTAAATTTCTCAGCTATAATGATCACCCATTTTCGAGGGAAGTAAATTCGTAACTACTGTGTAAAGGGAATGAACCAATTGGGAAATTCTCTGTTTCTCATGGTGAGAAACGAAATTTGTTTCTCATGGTGGCATTTTCGTGAATAAATCAACAACTTTTTCAGTATTGTGGGCTCCACAGTTAAAAAAGTTGAATAAAGTTGTTGGTTTATTTACGAAAATGTCATGTGAGAAACAAAATTTGTTTCTCATCATGAGAAATTGGGGCATCCTCGAACCAATAAGTTTATCAATACTTGCTAAATTATTTATGAGAGAATGAGTTTGAATTGTATTGATGATCTTGACTATTATTTATAGTCTACAAAAGATAACCTACACAATATAAACTCTATCATATAAACTTCCATAAATCTATCTTTGAATATCAAGATATATTATTATCCTAAATATAATATCATAAGATCTATATGGAAAATATATCACAATAATATATTTTCCTATATTCTTAACAATACTAGTTCATTGACTGTGATCCTCCATCCCTCTCCACCTCTTCAACTCCCTTGAAAAATTAAAGTTATCTCTGTCATTTTATGCTATATAAGCTAAGTCCATGTATTGTTTGTTGTTTCCTCCAAATCTCAAAGTTTTCAACCCTATTATAAACATTTGATTCATCAAAACCATATTTCAAAAAAACAAAAAAACAAATATTCAATAAAACCATGTCCACAGCTAAGCAGCAACATCATGCAACATCCGATAGAATTAGCAACTTGCCACTAAACGTAACACAGCAAATCCTTGAATGTTTACCTCTGCAACAAGCAGCAAGGACGAGCGTGCTATTGAAGTATTGGAGGAACAAATGGGCTTCGACTTCTAAGCTGATACTTGATGAGTCATTCGCTAAATGCATCTGTGAAAAAAAAACTAAACCTTCTGACAAATTATTAGCATACAATAAAGCTGTTACTGATATTCTCTTAAGTCATGTTGGACCGATAGGTAAATTTGTTCTTTACATCCCCTCTTGGATTCCGAAAAAAACAGACTTTAGCTCGTGGCTACGATTTGTTTATGATAATGGTGTCAATGATATTACTACAAATGATGATCGCAGTCTATATAGAAACGTTCCAACTTGTTTGTTCTCTTTTGTAAGATTGACACATTTAACACTCCTCAATTGCAATTTTGGTTCTCTTTCTCCAACATTTAGGGGCTTTCCATGTCTTATTAGTCTAGAGATTGATATCACCTACACATATTACAGCCGAGGGGATGCGTTGACAAATCTTATTTCCAAATGCCCATTGCCTGAGCGCCTCCATTTATCTTTCTATATTTCTTCCGGCAATATGACTATTCGTGCTCCGAAACTTCTAGAGTTTATTTTGAGAGCCCAGAAGGTTATTGATGTATCCTTGGTAGCAACCAGAGCTATAGAAGTTTTGTCTCTACATATGCATTATTGTCAAACGTTGCAAGGGAGCAAAAGCGTGACTGATTTCTTTAGTTGTTTGGCTAATGTTATTATATAGCTGAAATTTTGTTCCATGAATTCTTTATTAATTGTTGGCTTGTTGCTAACTATTTTGTAATGTTTGTTTGATTTGCAGGTATTCAATTTCAGTGATTTTACATCTCCAAAAATGTTTCCGAAGTTCCTGACAAGGTTACAAGCACTTGAACTTATAGATATAGCTCTGAATTATGATTCCAACATCTCTCTTGTTCTCTGCTTGCTATTGAGCTCACCAAATCTAGAGCGACTACGTATCAAAGTGAGTTTTTGATTCGAATGTATCTTATTAGCAACCTTCTCCTTGATATTACCTATATGTGCAATTCTAATAATTTTGTTTCTGTCTTTGTAATATATAGGCTGCGAATGATGAAGCAGAATCAGATGGTCAGTTAAGTCAGTTTGATGACACTTATATCTTTCAACACCTTAAAATCATACACCTTGTTGGTATCACAGGTTTGAGCAATGAACTAAAACTTATAAGATTTCTACTAGCTTGCTCCCCTGTGCTGGAAAAAATAACTATTGAATTGAGTACGAAAATAGGAGGTGCTGAAGAACAGGTTAATTTCTTCAAGGAGTTGAATCAATATCGTCGAGCCTCTACAAATGTTGAGATGATATTTAAAACTTAGAATAAAAGTGTTGGCTACACTGATCATTTTCTATGTAACAGATGTTCCTAGATTTAATCTTTGTTATATACTCTATTAAATTGCCTTAAAACTCTCAGAAGCTGTTTTAGTTATTTGGTGAATATTGTTCCATTATACTGCAATATACTGTAGTTAATATTTCTGTTTACTTTCATTGGTTTAAGATCCTTTTTAGCTTGTTTTACCCCTAGATATTTCGAACCTTTTAGTGTGGATATGTTAGAAGTTATATGAGGTATGGTGAAATTAGATATACATACATTATTGGCTATTTATGAATTATGATAAATTTTGCCTATTGTTGGACAGCTATTTAGCAGGGTTAATCAAGATTTTGGTATTGGTAAAGTGTTATGGCGAATAGGAGATCATATGATAAATGTGAGTTTTACATGATAGCTAGCCACATAATATTAAATGCTTACTATTTGGTTTGGTAGAAAGAAACTAGATTTGATTAAGATAGTCGGAACATATATCATTATAAGACAAAATTGGCTTCAACAACACTAATTACAGCTTTTGTGCATCTTATGGCGCTACATTAAGCAAATTCATCCTGTACAATGAGCAAATGACCTTGGCCCTTGGGTGTAGGCGTGTAGCCTAAATACCAAAGGCTCGAAAAGGAAGCTTCAATGCCAGCGAGCAAGGAGAGTGATGCCTAACCACGTTGTAACGGTGTTATGCCTACAAGTTTGAAGTTGCTTATGCTCAGTTAGCAATAGGCATAGTTAATGTAGGAATACTAATTTTAAAGTTTTCGCTTAAATGGAACTGTTACCATGGATAGATAGAGATAACCAAATTCATTTATTCAACCATTATTGTTTATATTTGAGATATGTACTCATCATCTGTTCATGTCAATTGCATTACTCTTATTGCACCACATCATCTGATCTGTATCCAACTGTTGATAATTGTTTTCAAGCTAAGGACTTGTTGAATTATGAACATTGTATTGGAATAATATCAACCCTTCCATCCTACTTCATTTCTGCTCTAGCCTCTATTCGATTTTCGAATAACCTGTAACCACCAGTTATAATCTTAAGCACAATGATAGTTGATTATGGACCTTTAAAGTAGGTTTTATAATTAATAATAATCTATCTAAAGATGTTTGAATTGAAAAAATTAATACAAGTACTATCATCAATCAATCATCATCAATCATCAATAAACCTATACTAAAAGCGAATCTTAAATGACACGTGTCTATGTATAGTTAAAAAAATTCCCACCTAATTTTTATTTCCGAATTTCTCTTTTAATATAATTGATACTAATCTCTAATATTTCTTAAATTATTATTTTTATGGATGATTCTAATAATACAGAGTATCTTTTTATTTAATATACAAGTCAAGATATGTACATGATATATCATCATTAACAATTAATAACATAAATTTACTTTTTTATATTAATACAAATCTAAAATCGGAAAAAAAAATTAATAAATATAATTTTAAAAATAAACTTTTTATACATAATAATTTATTATAATACTAATGTTAGTACAAACTCAAATGCAAAAAATACTTATGTGTCAATTGATTTCATTTAATTTTATCTATGACCAAGGTACACATAATACTAATTGGTAGGAATGTATTGTATTGCCCAAATATAATAACGGGCCTATAAGATGTCCGCACAAGATTGGGCCTACATCATGGAGTAGTGGACAGTGGTATGCGGCCCAAGAATATTTGGTTTTTTTGGTGCTTAGAGAGCCACAAGGGCGAGTGATGAGAATCGATCCCAAGATCTCTTGGAACCGGGAGGGGAGCTCTAACCACTTGAGCTATCCCTCACTCTCCGGCCCAAGAATATCTCCTACAAGCTTTTCTTTTATTGGCGATTGTAGATTTGTAGATCATACAATGCAACAGATCAGGAATATTATTGCTTAAGTTTAAATAGTCATACATCTCTCAAAAAGAAAAAAAAAAAAAAAAAAAAAAAAAAAAAAAAAAAAGGGCATACATTGAATTATATTTAAGTATAAACAAAGCAATTCAAAAGATACAGACAATTGATAAACAATATTTGTCTACCCTAAACTAATCATAGTACTCCGTATGATGAATGCAATTAATAAATCTTAAACTACCAACAGAAGTAATTTACAATATATTTACATCTTATTACATTTCACCAAAAAAAAAAACAATATATGGTTTCAAAATAGATATATATATACTAGGTTAAGTCCCGTGCCATGCACGGTCATAATTAAATGTTAGAACAAATAAATAATAAATAGTGGTGTAAATTCAACAATAATTTATCCAAAAAAATTATTTGTAACAAAATAACTTGAATTTTAGTTTAAACCAATTAGGGGTGGCAATTCGGGTCAGCAGATCGAGTTCGAGTCAGATTTCGACTTGATTTTGGGTTATGCTTAGAAACTAAAAAAAAAACAGTGTAAAACTTAATATAATTATAAAATATGAAATTTAGATCAAATTATGCTTAAAAACCACCAGTTTTTTTTTTTTTTTTGAACGTAGAAACCATCAGTTTAAGGTTTTGGTTGAGGCCCAAAAAAATATGTTTACAGTCTATCAAATAATTAGATTTAATTTTCCAATATATGTTATGTACGTTAGTATGAAGCATACTATATAACAAAATGATTTTGTTTTTATAAACATTGTGTATAATTTTAAATATTATACAAAGAATATATGCTACCAAAATGAATTTTCTTTTTTAATTAAAATAAATTTTTTTTTATCCCATGATAAAGGTTGGAGATTTTTTATATATAAATATGTAAAATTAATTTTTTTTACTCGTATCCATTGTCAATCATGCATAAATTTGATATTTAATGGTGAATTGAAACTACACGTAGATAGTATTGTGGAGTATAAGAATAATATTGGAAATTTGAAAAGATATTATACTACTTTTCACATTATTTCTGTTTTGTGAACTATATGGTTGATACGGTGTAAATATTTACTATGTATACATAAATATTATATGATAAGAATATATCGATATAATAAAATATAATAATTAAATGAGGAAATAATTATATAATAAAACTAAAATATAATATAATAATTAAGGAAATAATGAAATTAGCGGGAAAAAAATGAATGACATTATGCCAAGTGTCATTATAGGTTCGCTTTTAGTATAGGTTAATAGATATATATATTTACATCCTATCTACTACTGACATCATCAACCTCTAAACTATCTTACGCGTCATTTTCACATTAAAAATTTTTCCTCCATTTCTTAGTAGATGTCATCAATTATTATTATTTTTTAATCTACATTATATATTTTTCAAACTGAAAATAATTGTCACTCTCTTTTACACAAATGATAAAAATTAATTTTTATGCATAATAATAAGGATCTTGCTAACCAACGCCCCAGTAAAGTATCACCTAAATTGGTATTAATTTGAGAAAGAATGACAAAATCACGCGTCAATAGGTATAATTAATGTTAATTTTAAATTTAATGTTTCCACTTTTAGCTAGCTTATCCAACGCCCCGGAGATGTTTGTTAGATTTTTCCTAATAATAAAAAAAAAATTAATTGTGCAACGTACGAGTCTAATTTAGTTTAGCTAATAATTACAGTAAAAATAATTAGCACAGGACTATCACGCACGATAGCACTATTACCCATTTAAAAACGAAGGAAGTATTGCGTCCAAAAATAAAAACCGAACGAAGTAGAAAATACTTGTACCCCCTCCATATTTTATTACTCGCTTATTTTTTCTTTTTCAGTTGTATTTTATTACTTACCCATTTCCTTTTTTGGAAATCATTTATAATATTTTACTAACTTTTTCTCTTCTAGTGGACCCAACTATCACACATTAATATTTTCACATTTTTTTCCTCATAACTATCACACTTTTTATTCTTTCACCAACTCTACTTTTCGAGAGCCTATTTTATACACCCGAATATACCATACACAGTAAAAATATTTCATATTTAACAAATGAGCAATAATTATTTGCACATTTGTTGATTAAATAAGCAAATGACTCTAGTATACGGTATACTCGGATATAATAACAGGTGTCATTTGACTGACAAATAAATGAAACATGGAGAGATATTTAGAAATTAAAATTTCTTTGGATTTGTTTGGTTGACAAATTCTTAACTTCTCACAAAATGGAGGTATTTAATTACCTAAAGGAACCTAAGTAAGTGGAACTTCCCATGGTTATTAACCTAATACACGTACAATTTAACATTTCCTAAGAATTCCAATAACATAGGAATATAAATTTCCAAGGCACATCTAACCAAACATGGCCACAAATTCTAATATGTAGTGGAGTATTTTTCCCTTACAAAATACCGAGGGATTATTAAATTCCTTTCCATCTTTCATAACCTCTCCATCAAACCATGGGAAAATATGATTTATTTCCTCTCTCCTCCTCTTCCCTTCTCTTCCCTTCCTTTACTAATTTATATTCACATTACCCAAATTAATGACTTCTTGAAGTTTGATGCTTCTCTTTGTTGCCATGGTTGTTCATTTTGACCGTTGTTTTTAGACCATCTCTTTTAATAAGACTCAACTTTGAGTATTGAAATATGAAATGAGTTGTTGTTTTACCTCAAATGTGATACCCAACTCATTTTTCAATTTAGCAACTCATGTAAACTCTAATTTCTCAATGCTAAGACACTCTAAAGTATGCATAATACTCCTTTCAATTCGTTTTTAAATACTTGCTCCATTTTTTTCGTCCGTTTTAAAATACTTACTTCTTTTCCTTATTTGAAAGATTTTACAATATTAAAATAATATCTTTCACCTAGCGGACCCTCAATGATCATATTTAATTATTTTCATATTAACTCTCCTTTGACTATAACTGTTGTAGTCTTTGGGAGGCTTGTGAGATTTGTTATTTTGGTTTGAATGAGCAAACTAGGGACATAGTTGAAGGAATGCATAATAGTAGATTTAGAGCATTTTCTATTGATGATGCTTGAGAATTTTATGTTTGGTTTGCTTGGAAAGTTCATAATGGGGGTAAAAAATTAGAAGCATGATTACCCCCATTATGAACTTCCC